GCAGAGCTGAACTTGATAGACTGCCGCTGCTTATCCCGATAAATCAGAAAATTATGAAATATTTTGTTTACCTCAACAACAAAGATAATGACTCTATAGTCAAACAGTCTTTCCTTATGTCAAAGAATCTACATTCTATGAATAATTCCGGATATTTTTCCAATTTCATAAACATGCTTGAACAATACAATCTAACCAGTTTAGATGCTGAATCTCTAGATAATAATAAAATTAGACGATATACCACAGAAATGAGAGAGAAATATCTATCTTTCTGGCGGCAAAGCCTCGAAAATTCAAAAAAACTAGAATTTTATAAAACTTTTAAAGATGAATATTCTACATCTGATTATCTCTACCAGCTAAGACATTATGACGAACGACAGAATTTTGTTAAATTTAAAATAAGTAATCACAAACTTATGATTGAACATGGTCGATACCAAATCGATCATTTGCCAAGAGAAAATAGATTATGTCCTTTATGTAACTCAAATCAGGTAGAAGATGAGATTCATTTCCTCTTTCAATGTAACAAATACTCAGTACAGAGACAGGCATTTATTAATCAAATCAATCGAATAATACCTGACTTTGACAAGAAATCATCTCCAGAAAGCATAAAACTGATAATGAATTCGAAGGAACATCATGTAAATAAGTTAGTTATGAAGTTTGTTTCCTCCTGCATGAAAATACGTGATTCATTGTTAGTAATGTAACCGAATTTTTCTAGATTATTATTAGTGCTGTTTTGTTTTATATTTTGATTGTCATGTACATGCTTTTGCAATACTGTAAAATGATGCAGTCATGCAAATAAAGCAATTTATTACTTACTTACTACGGCTACTACAGCTACTACAGCTACTACAGCTACTACAGCTACTACACCTACTACAGGTACTACAGCTACTACAGCTACTACAGCTACTACAGCTACTACAGGTACTACAGCTACTACAGCTACTACGGCTACTACAGCTACTACAGGTACTACGGCTACTACAGCTACTACACCTACTACAGGTACTACAGGTGCTACGGCTACTACAGCTAATACAGCTACTACAGGTACTACGGCTACTACAGCTACTACAGTTACTACAGCTACTACACCTACTACAGGTACTACAGGTGCTACGGCTACTACAGCTACTACAGCTACTACGGCTACTACAGGTACTACACCTACTACAGCTACTACAGCTACTACGGCTACTACAGGTACTACAGGTACTACACCTACTACAGGTACTACAGGTACTACAGCTAATACAGCTACTACGGCTACTACAGCTACTACAGGTACTACAGGTACTACGGCTACTACAGCTACTACAGCTACTACAGGCACTACAGCTACTACAGCTACTACAGCTACTACAGCTACTACAGGTACTACACCTACTACAGGTACTACAGGTACTACGGCTACTACAGCTACTACAGGTACTACAGGTACTACAGCTACTACAGCCACTACAGGTGTCATTGCGTCTACTAGGGTACAGCCACTACAGCACTGACAGCGGTGGGCGGTGGCCCGGGACATTTTGGGCAGTCTTACACCAAGTACTACCCTCCTCATAACCCCTTGTAAGAACCCCTGTATCTAAGAACCCCTAAAGAGTCCCGGGCAGTAAGAATCCCTAAACGTAACAGCCCCTGAACGTAAGAATTTTCTGGCTGCTTCGCTAGTTGAATTTCTTCACTGTGTTTCTGGTACAGCTCTGATCTTTTAGTAAAATCCAACAAGAGAAACTGAAGACAAAGCTTATGCAAAATTTTGGGGTGAGAAACAAATAGCATTATGGTATGTTATGGTATTTTCTGGAGTGGTCAATTAAACACAAGCGATCCATGCGGGTCTCATTAATTTCAGGAGAGACCAGCAAGCTCACTGCGCGAAACTGCGATGCCTTTAAGAAATTTCCCTAAAATTTCAAAAATCAGTGGGGCCATATTTGCGTATGGGTGAATCAGGTTGACTCATTATTCTTTTTTGTCCAAAAAAACCCATGGAGTATCATGATCTACAAACTTCTTCATTTTTTTTTTAGCATAAAGAATTGCAATCAGAACTATGCAAATGCCGAACCTCAGGCAACATCAACGTCAATGATGAAAAACACTCAGGCTTTTGTTCATTATGCTACCATTTTTTGGAAAGATTGTCTTGACATTTTAGAATAGCAACTAAGGACGAGGTCCGAAATTGCTTCCATCATTATAAATAAATCATTTTAGGTATATATGTACTGTGCTGCTTTGTATTAAATCTGACCATACTTACACACAGCCACCAAAAGGGTTGGGGCGGGGGGGGTTAATAGAGTGTAGCATGGTACGTGTCAAGTTTGTTCGCAATATCCATAGTACTTTGTCCGCTTTATTAACCTTTATTACTGTTCCTCCAACACACCTGCCACCAAACATTATGGACGGTATTTACACTGGAGTACTTTCACTACATTTAGCGTCATAATAACAACAAACAAAGAAACTAAAAGAATAAAAAAATAGATATCCCTAAGCGCTTGGTATACTACGACTGTCTTACTGTGAGACAAACCAAGTTACTTACAAAAACTATGGTTAAACTTGAGGAAGAGTAGTTTTCAAGGGAAAATTCCAAATAATGGGAATTTGGTACAGTTACGTACGTTAAATAGAATATTTTGCGATGTTTGCATACCTCATGAGACACCCTAACCGGTGTTTGATGCAGCTTCGCAATCCATTAATAATATCTGCTAAGACATTCAGGAAACGACCCAAATTTTGATATTTACAGTTGGGCGTCCACGCTACTTTCACGGTTGATTTTAACTTTGTTTTCGGTTACACGAGCCAACAAATATACTTTAAGTCCCAGTAATGAACTGGAAACAGGAGCACTAAATACCTCTCTAAATACAGTGTACATAAATAAAACAGGGGCACCCAACGACTGTTTTCTGTAAAATATCTGTTCAGAGAAGCAAATATTGCCTAGAATTTTCTTTTGCTTGAGGACGACTAAAAATTTATAGATGGAACTTTCCACTCATGTTCAATTTTCGAAGCTTATCTAATAAATTCCCTACGATTTTCTGAAGTTTAATTTTTAATATTTTACTACCCAGGTTACACTATTTTTCTAAGAAAAAGGAAACCCCAAATTTTCGGATTCTAAAATGTGATGGAGACAGGAATCAGAATAATTTTTACTTTCGTGAGACGTTAAATTGCACCTAAAATTTTCTGGAAAATAATACTGAAGTTCTTGTAATCTCGAAAGCACTTAAGTTCCCCTAGGATGACCGAACAGATTAAAATTTTGTAGGGCCGCTTAGAATGCATTTCTAGAGATCATAAAGTACTCTGGATAGCCTAAAAAGTGTTTTCAACGTATTTTGGAGGAAACCGTCGTTGGGTGCCCCTGATAAAAGTGGAAATAATCATCATCACAAAAATTTTAAACTTTACACCCAAAGAATACATTCCAACTATTTGATCCTTTCGTGCTTACCACAAAGGGTGGAGAACTGCGCAAGCGCAACGTACTGAAGGAACTTAAATTTACAAAGACTTAGATGATCCAACATAAGACTTGAGAATGATACTAGAAGTCACAATGATAGTAGACGTTAATACAAACATATTGCAAAAAAAAAGACCAAATAGTTATACTAGTAAGCAAAGAAGCACTTATAAAGTGCTGCTTTGCTTAGCCATCTCTTTGACTTCATGTGCAGTGCTCATTAAAGGGTAGCACAGAAATAGAACGTTGCGCATCTGCGCACAGCACGGAATTATGTTTCCTTTTTTTATCTCTTTCTGTTGCTCAAAAGCAATAAGAACACCAAATGAACGTAAAAAGAGTCAGTTTTCAGTCCAAAAAGTATGATATCAATAAGTGCTGCATTGCTGTTTAAAGGATGCATAATTATTCTTGCTTCCAAGTGTAATATTGAAAGGGCAACAGTTAATCTAGAGGCACTTCTTCAAATAAATACGGTATGTTCCGAGGCTTACCGGTCGTTTCGACAGAAGTTTATTCAGTCGCAGCGTAAATAGTTTGACGTCCTTGGCTTAAATAAGAAAAAATATTCACCCAAAACGTTTTTCTTGTTCACGCGTAAACTATACGTGAAGTGAACGACCTCGTCGGGTAATTTCACTGCTTGAGTTCGTATCGAAACGAGTTGTATCGAAACGACCGGTTTCCGAGAAAGGTACTCTTTTGAGTAAATGAGGTATGTTTTCTGTAAATGGACCCTAACGTAGTCAAGATACCAAGTTTAACGTGATTTGTGGAAAACTAAGGAAGGTATAGCTCCGTAAAGTCGTCGCCTGCAGAGCAGTTGTTGTTGTTCTTTTTTACCGAAAGCGCGGCCCCGCAGAAACCATCATGAAATCAACTGGAAAACTAAGAAAGGAGCGGCGGGGAGAAAACGCTCGCGCATTTTTTCCTCCCCTCCCCCTCCCTTATTTTGAACCGTCAACCTCCCCCTTGGAATCATCTTTTAGACTCGCCAAATCTCTCTGTCATTTTCAACGTCCAAATCGTTCGCACGGCAAAATACACCTGCTTTGCAGGCTACAAAGTCACCAAATTTTAACCGACGTTTGCATAGAAAAGGTAAGTTCGTGCCCCCCCCCCCCCCCCCCCCCCGCCCCTTCCTCCCTTTCATACGAACGTCTTTAAAGTTTTGCGACCTTGCGGAGCAATATCTTCGCACGCTCTTAACGATCATTTTTAAACTTGGTAAGTTTCCGAATTTTCAGTCCGCTAAATGGTCTTAATCATAACTTGAAAAAACCCTGAAAGGGCTATTGCGTTACAGTCTGTGAGCAAGCTCTCCTATTTGGGCAAGCGAAGCGAGTCTCACGAGAACGCGCGAGCGAGGGGCTCCTCTGCCCCTCGCGGCTTCGCCGCTCGCTCGCGCGTTCTCGCGAGACTCGTTTCACTCGCCCAAATAGGAGAGCTTGCTCGCAGGCTATGTTACAGTCTCTTAGTCGGAAGGCATCTTCTTCTTCATTGCCTTCCATGTGTCTGCTGTCATAACATCCTTTCCTTTAATGCTCTTGGTTACAAATCCGCCGACCACCATACCATTTGGCAGCTGGGAGACCCCACCGCTCCTTCCAAGAGGCAAAACCATTACAGGATTAGACGGCTTGTATTCTTTAAGACGTTTGTTTTCATTCAACCGTTTAATATTTTCCACCGCTACATCTGTAAAAGAAGACAACAATCAATTGGGATGAAACCTTTCAAACATAAAGTTCGAACTTATACATTACAGAGGCACCCAACGAGAATATAGTTCAAAACCACTTAAACATAGCATTGTTAAACGTATTTTAGTAGTTAAACGGTAGATAGAGGCATATTTTTATCCCCTACAAATTTTTAATCTATTCGGATTTCCTAGCTGAAAGTCTAGTGATCCGAAAATTATAGGCATCAAAACTTACCTTTTCGAAAATTCCAGCCACAAAAAAGGCTCCCGAAAATTCTAGGTCACCTTTTAAGGGTAAAAATCCATTAAAAATGGGCAATTATACCATTTTTTTTTTAATTATACCATTTTTTAGATGTTCGAAAATCCTAGCAGAGGCAGGCAAGCAAGAAATTTTACAACAAACGTTCCGAAAATTCTAGATCTCAATTCGTCTTCCAGATATATTGCGAAAATTGACGTTGGGTACCCCTGACATAAGGCCATTTCATTTCTATTATACTCTTTCACAAGCAGACTCAGTCAGTCTCTGGTCCTCACCCATCTTACGATTTTTAAACTGTTAACTTTCCTTAGCTAACCTTATTCTTAATTTCTTATTTTCCAGGCACTTTTCCGCCTTGAATAGCCTTGCTAGGTGCGGGCAGTGCTTCTGTTATGTTATCTGCTTACTAATAAAGTTCTTCTAATCAAAATGAAACAATGAATTTAGAGTGCCATAAGCCCTACCCTGCCTTTTGAGATTATAGTATTCGGAGTACATGTGGGCAGGTCATCCAATAATTTACTGTCAAACCTCTTCTTACAATCAGCTCCAAAATATGGGCACCTCTCTATTACAGACAGTACTTTTGCTTTCAATACAAAACTTCACACAATAACGACAGTGTAGCTCAAAAACACCAGTTAATTGTTTCTAACATTTGTTGTAAGCAAACAACTTGATGTTTCATTCGTCAGGTTGAAAAGTCCACTTATGCTATGATTCAGAAGAAATAACTAGGATTGGCAGGAATTTACACAAACCTGGGAATCATCCGGGAGATGTTATGCAAAATTTTATTGCCTTTTCGGATTTCATTCTTATGCTGTGACAGTGACAAGTATCTACAATTTAACTATCTTACCGGCCTGTAGACGTGCTAAATATGCCAGTTTGAGTTCAGGAGTATTGTTACAATCCCCGATGGCGAACAAATTCTCAATTTCTTCCACCCTTAGGAATTGATCCACTTTAAGACTTCCATTTTTTTCCATCTTGTCAGAAAGCTTTGACTGATATGCTATGGAATTGACTTTCAGTCCTGTGCAGCGAAACACCAGATCTGTTTCAATGCTGGTGCCTTTGTCCGTTGTCAGTGTTAAGGGTCCAGAAATCCAAGGTTTATCTGAATCAAACTGCCAAAAACATGTCTCCTATTAGAATTACCTGTGTTACAGATGGAACTTAAGTCTGGTTGCCAATCAGGATGAAAGGAAATTCGGAAGGAGGATCTCCCCACTGCTTTGCAGATGTTACTCACTGAGGTTAAATTATGTATGAGATGCAGGTTATAGAAATATGGCAATTAATTTCTTCCATGTTTTTGCTTAAAGTAAAAAAAAAAAAACAATTATTTTTCTCAATGTATATCACTCTTTAAAGAAATATGTCTGAATATTTTAATCTTGCAATACATTTTTGGGAAACAAAATCATGTTCTCTTTGCACTTAATTTTTGCTCTATCTTTCTATAGAGCTTGTGGCTTATTCAAAAGAATTTTTCACAGTTAATATCATTTTTCTTTCTTGGCTTTGCTTTTTAGAAACTATTACTTACATTCAAGTCATCCATATTTACACGCTCTCCAAGAATGGTCTCAACCTTTAAACCCTTAAGCCCATCACGTGCCTTCTTAATAAACTTTGGCGCCATTCGGTCATCAAGAATTTCTTCCCTGTTATGCACAAGAGTGATTTTCTTCTTTGGATAGTCATTGGCTAATTCACCAGCCAACTCTAACCCAACAGCTCCTCCACCAATGACAACAATTCTGTCACTTTTAATGACCTAAAACGAACAAATTAACGTCAAGGAACAATGATAAATAGAAAAGTAGGTTTAAAACAGGTTTACAGTGCAACTGGAAAAATGAACACCTAGAATATGTCAGGAATGCTCATTGTTTATAAACCTATCAAGTTTCAGGACTTCACGTGCCAAAACCGCAAACTGACTAACCGTTTGAAAATATTAGTCTGGCTTAAGTGAAATCAATAGAAAAGGTTAAATTTTGCTTAGAATGATGTAAAAATAATTACAATTGGTTCTGAAACATCCGCTGACTGTTGAGTTACTTGTGATAAGTTTTCAGTGTTCAATAAATCCCTCATGGTTTTTGTGAAATTTACTCGTTTTATTTCAGAGAAAAGTAGATAATACAGGAATAAGCCACGGCATCAAATGTTGAAAGCAACAATGTTGCTTTGGAATACCAATGACTGGTGAAAGGACAAATACACGCATTTTCCTGTTTCTTTATGAGAAGTCTCAGAGCTTATAAATTGACCAGTATTAGCTCAAATTAAAACAATTACCTGGAAAATCCAAAGCCGACGAAGAAAAGAAAAAAAGCTGACACAGTTCTTGCTGTGCAAACAACGGTAACACTCTGAGATTTGGCAAGTGGATTTTGGATGCGTGTTTGGATGATAATAACATTCCAGGCATATTTCAGGTGCACCGTTTTCCTGGTCACACTTTAGAGTAGTTTGCGGAATTGGCTGAAATTTCATTAAAATCAGGGCGTGAAATTAATGGTAACCAGTTAACCAACGGTTAGTAGTTTCCACATTTGGTTCTTAAAAATGTGCCCGAGTAACCTGACATGGTTAGTTGAAATTTCTGTTAAATTAAGTATTTTCATTCATAGTTTCACGCAAGGCTGATGTGTTTCTTTTTTGCATAAGGTTGTTTTCTATTTTGAACAATTTGTTGTTTTAAAAGATACAAAATGTATGCTTAGTGCACAATCAAACAACAAGAAAAAGTCGCATTTCCACAGAGGTAATGTAACCAAGCTTGTTGGATGAGGAGATCTGGACACAACTTTAGCATACCTCCACAATCTTGCTCATTTCAGTGTTTGTTTTGTTTTCTTTTGGTAAAGTGGCTCGTTTGTGCAACCTATTCCTTGGATAGTCGTACTTTTGCAGAAAAAGGTCGCCGCACGAAAGTTGTGAAGAGGAAATGGAAGATTGAGAAAAACAGAACAAGTACAGTTTACAACACTATGGCACTACAGAAGGCTCCCTGGAAGTTGGCGGTACAAAGAAAAGCTTAATCAAGGAGGAATTTTCCACAAAGAATGACAAAAGACATTCACCTGGTTACAGTTCGATTAGTCTAAACAAACAATGGCGGTTTTAAACCAATCCACCCATACTTTAGTTTGCCCCATTTATTAGCACAATTTTCAGTAGTTAATAATTTATTATATTGTAAGTACAAAACCAGATTCTTGGATAATAAACTTTAAAATTTGGTTAATAAAGTTTATGCCCACTAACCCGAAGGGTTAGTACTTTGTAATCCAAAAAATTAATTTCGAGCCCTGAAAATTTGATCGGCAGTAATAATCAGATTGACCCATTGACTAGATGATTCATCAAATCTCTTTCTAAGAATTCTGGTTTTTTTTACCTGCATGCAAGTCAAAGTAATAGATATAATTTTATTTTATTTTCAGTTTTTGACTGTGAACCATCAGTACTTTAAATTTAGCAAAGCCATTGTGTTTTGAGGTTATTTTACTAACCCTAAACATTAAAACACAAATAGCATACAAAATTAATCATCAATGGATATAGCTAAATTATAATTTTACTAAAAAGGCAACACTCAAGTTTTAATATGGTAATTTATTTCTTCCTACAATCTTTTTTTCACCTTTCCTTAATGATAGATTAAACATCTTCCATACTTATTGATTGTCACCTTGCCTGAGGTTTTCAATCAGTGATTAAATTAACGATTGGAACACCAATAGTTTAAGGTCTTACAAAAAGTCAATGTTGAAAGTTTGATGTTTGCCTCAATCAAGCTTTTTAAGACTATTAGTACCTGGTCAGTGCATTCCTTGTAAAGTTTTAAAGCATCTTCCATACTTGTTCCTAAAGGCAGCTTCCCTTCAAAAAATAAATCATACTCTTTTAGAAACTATAACAACCTTACATTACCTAGGCACTATGGCTTCATTACTTGGATTGCATGAAACCATTAAGGACGCAAACAAACCTGGGGGACAGACAGGGAGTAGTATACAAGATCGAATGCTGCGACTGCCAGGCTTCTTACATTGGTGAAACTGGCAGAAACCTAAGCATGCGACTGACTGAACACAAACGAGAGACAAGCAATGGTGACGTCAACAATCACATTGCTGAGCACCATTTGCAGATGATACATCAAATTGACTGGGAGTTTGCGACATGTATAACGTATTCTACAGACTACTATCAACGTCTTACTTTAGAAAGCTGGTTTACTAACTTAGAACAAACCAACAATCCTATTCAGGACTATGTTCATCCGGACGATCAAACTCAACCAACTTTTGAAATGACTCCTGGGTTCAAAACTTTCACAACCATTAATTATTTAATCAGTATTAGGTGAAATGTGATCACAGTCAATAGCCTCCAAAGGATAGACCCTCCCTAAAATGATACCTAGAGTTGGCCTACGCCATTACTTTCATGAGATAGAAAAGGAAAATAAAATTTAAAAAAACGACCCAGCTCTTCATTCCCACAACTGCATTTGCAAATACAGTAGAAACCTGCAGGTCTGAACCTGCATTTTCCAAGGTTAGCCTTAACAGGTTCTCACATTGTAATTAGGCTATTTAGGTTATTAAATAGATTCTTATTTTCTGAAGACAAAATATACATTGAATCACATGTAAGAGCATATTTCTGTATTCAGCTTATTTGTTATATATAAAACCTGCATGCCATTAAATTGCAGTTGAAGTGATAAGGCACCTATGTCTCCAAAGAGGATTCTGAATGTTGACTGAATGCACAGACTTTTTTTGTAGATTTTAGAAGATAAGTCTGGGCTACACAGGTGCTTGTATAGAGGGGACCTAACTGACAAATTTTAGACTAACAGGTTTTTTTACTATACCTGGCAACTCAAAATCCCATCAGCAACCTAATGAAATAGGAGTGATGGAGGCCAAAATATTTTTCCATAAAACCTGTGTCACACAGGAACCTCAACAAAAGTCACCAAATGCATGGTTGAATATTCCTGCGTCAATTAATGCAAAGATATTATAGACTCAGGAACTTACCTGGAAATGGAACAGATGAGCCACAGGCAAACACAAGATAATCGTAGCTAATCTCATTTCCACTGGAAAGTGTCACTGTTCTTCTGGAGATATTGCAACTAACAACACGATCCTGAACAAAGGTGCCATGCTTCAGAATTCCTTCATAAGGTATGAGAGTCTTCTTAGCAAAAGACGGTTCAACGACACTTCGCAATCCTGCCATGTTATGATGAAAAGCATCTTTGGGATCAATGAGAGTGACTTTGCAGTAGCTATCAAGTTGCATAGCAACCTGAATGCCACCATAACCTCCCCCGACAATGACTACCTCACAGGAGTGTTTTGGTGGAGCTGATGATGAGTTCCCCATGACATCACTTGTGAGCACAAAAAGCACTCACGTGAAGCCTGTGGAAGTTTAATGTATCAAAAATTTAATACTGTTACCCTATAGTAGAATTCTGATCCGCTGATCTTACACAAGACGATTTGCAATGACGATTTTCAGCACAACATAGCATTGCAACACCAATTAATAATTGTTTGGAGTGGTTACAACATTGTTCAACAGTTGTAACCTTACGTTGCTCTTAAAATTGTTGTTGTCAATCATCATCTCACCTTAACTTGGCTGACTTAACCCTTTAAGTCCCAATAGTGACCAACATCAATTTTCTCCTGACAATATCCATATGTTGCCAAGAGGAATGGTTATAAGAGTTAATAAAATGATCGCTAAAGAAAAAATGCTTTGATCTGCTATTAAACTCTCTCGACTAATTCTTTAAAGAAATGTATACAGGAGAATTTATATGTGGACATTTGGGTTTAAAGAGTTAAAAGTCTGTTAGCTTGAATGCAGTCAAACCCTGTTAAAATTATGGTCACCAAAGGAAAGTATCAGTATTAACTGGGTGTACTTATCTGCTAAAAGTAGGTTTAATTTAGGGAAAATGTCAGCTGGGGCCCTTTCTTCTTAGCATTTACATGAAGCCTGACATTCCATGACAGAGAAGCTGGGGTATTTCAGAGAACCAACACAATAAGGTACATTGTTTGTTGACATTGAAAAAATATCAGAAGAGTAAAGAAAGGCTATTGATTTGCAAATTAATATATAAGGGCTAAAGAAACAAATGTCTCATTTTGCATATATCAAGGAAATTAATCAATTGGGTTTTGATAGAGTTTTGCTTAATATTTTAAAGAAAACATTTAGAAATCTTCTTTATCTTACAAATTCAACAATTTTTATGCAAAAGACCGATTTGTTTTATAAAAATGACTTATAAATAAGATATTTGCGGTTACCACCTATACACTGAGGAATCTGTCAAAAGTCCTTGATTTACCCAAATACGTCTGCATAGATAATTTATAGTAAACGTGTGATGACCGTGTAAAAAAGCGTCTGCAGACGTACATCTACTTTAATTGTTTATTTTCGAACTAGAAGAACAAAAATAACCGAAATAAATCTCAAATATTGAATCGCTTCATTATTGCATTCTTTTAACCTGGCCTTAGGCAAAATACCATGCTACAGTATGAATGGTAAAGACAAAAAAATATCGGAAGAAAAGTTTTGCAAGCCTCGGTAAGCTTGGTCTCAGCTGTGAAATCTAGACTGAGATAAACTTATTGACAAGATCATGTTCTACACGAAAAAATAGAATCAAAAGGAAAACCCTTTTTCCTCCTTTACACTGTATTCTTTTTAACCTCCGGGCTCAATGGCATTACAAATAGAGCGGAAAGCAGAGAAATAGGTCGTTCTTAAGTTTAACGATTCGCGCCCGCCTTCTTCAGGCTAGCTTTTATAAGAACAAAACAATACCGAGATCGCGAGAAACCACAAAAGATTCCTTCAATCTAGAAACGACATTGAGGAGAAAGAAAGACTAAGTAGTTTTCCTACCTGGAGGGAGGGTTGAAGTTAGACTACAGTCCACAGAAACCGTAAAAATCTCGACGATTATGTCTTCGAATCACCTTCGCCAACTTGACAGCTTCTTTTATTTGAACTGAGCCCGCGGGCTTGCTGTCGTTGTAAACAATCATCTCGCATGCGCACTAGAGTGAGAGAAATCAATATGGCGGACGGTTTGCCTTCCGAGAGGTTGTCGAAGAAAGTTACGCCTTTTTTGAAGGTACGCTAACAGTTTTTCTGCTTAAAGCGTATTTTACTGTTGTAAATCTACAAGTTGTATTTTTTGGTATGAAAAGTATTTCCTTGTAATTTTTTACGAATCCTTGCTTTGATTCATCGCTAAACAGCTCTCTGGCTTTCCGTTGTCGCCTAAATCCTTCGCCAGTTGTGTACTTGAAAACACTTTCAATCTTTTTATAGGTCAACCCAGGATTGTACACGAAATATGAAGGGAAAATTACAGTTTCTTTGAAATGTTTAAAATTTAATTTATTTTTCTTAGAGCAGTTGTTTGATCGCTGACTTAGAACAGATGCTTAAAATTGAAGGGGTGTGCGATCGAAGGACATGCATTTACGTTAAATTGCGGAAAATCCAAGAAATGCCATTGTGTAATGACAAATATTTGTTTGAGACTATATGCTTCGTCGATAGGGACTTCTATTTTTTTCAATTTGCCATCTTACTTTAATCGAATTGCATGTTGTACAAATTATGTTTTACTTATTATATTTCTCTCTTGTCAAGTGGTTTGACATCTTTTGTTCTTACATCGCGTTTAACCTCTGGCCATCAACAATTAAGCATATTTTCCTGGAAATCTTTTGCGCATTTGTCTTTCCTTTGTTTATTTTAGTGTATTAATATTATACTATGTTATGCACCTTTATTTTTAAACTTAAAAATACATCGTAGTGTTATTTTTCTTTACTTTTTAAGAGAGGACCATGATGATGTGTTAAGTCAGGATGTGTGCAGAAATGATGGATATCACCAGAGATGAATCAAAAAGAATCCTTCGTAGGCTAGGTTAGTTGACCTTTTAATAGTTGATTCACCTACCTACAACTGTATTAGAGTATCAGAAGTTGCAGTGTGATAAAAATAATATTACTAATAATAATATTGATGATGATTATGATGATGATGTTAATAATGTTGTTGATGATGATGTTGATTATATTGTAGCACAATGTACATTATTATTTGTAGAAACTACTAAATTATCTTTTTTTTATTTTGTCTTGAAAGCTGGAAGGATTGCATTGGTTAATCATGTAATCATAATTTCTTTTCTTTTTTTTTTTCATTTAGAGTTAGAAGCATATTCTTCTATTATCAGTGCATTCAGGGCCCAAGGAGAATTAAGTCGGTCAGTTGATTTGTTTGTCTTATAGTAACAATGAAGTGTCTCCAATTAGTGCAACACTTTCGGTGTGCTAGAAGCTCTGACATGTTGATAAAGTTGTTGATTGATTGACAGTTATAATAAAATGCCCAATTAATTTTTTTAGGTAAAAATGTACTTTGATTAATTACTGCTTGTTTATGATGTGGAATTTTTTATAAGAAAGGAAATCACAGTATGGAGAAGATTTGGAAATTATCAGTGAAAACTAGTAATGGCGGTTAATATTATAGCTCCTAGACTGCAAGCAGTCTCTTATTTTCTTTTGAGCAACAGTAAATCAAGAGCAGGCACCCTATAGCTCCCAGCATAAAGTTGAGATATGTCTATGAATTTTACTTGCTATACACTTTTTTCTGAAATGTTGGCAAAGTTCACTATTATTTAATCTTCTTAATAATTGGCCTTCTATGTTTTGTTTAAAATTGAAAGTCTTTTTTTAACTCTGTATATGCAATTAAAGCAAACAAAGCTGATTAACATAAAGATAACAGAAAGGAATATTGCCACCATTTTGGAGAAAGGTGTATTGTGTCAAGCAAAGAAAAGCAACAGTGGTGATTGATCTGGGAATGGTAATTTTGTACTCTATTTCACCAACAACAAGAAGGGAAAACTGCTATTCTCATTCTTAATGCATTTTTTTTTTTCGATAAATAGGGCTAAAAAGAAGATTTTGCAGGAACTGGGAGCTCAGCTCAGGTAACTGAATGAATTGAATTCTTCATCTTACATCTTACCTTCCATTGTCAACTTCTGCTGCAAATTATTTTTCTACTTGCCATGGTGGTCAATAGCTTGGAGGGCTGAACACTTACGTTACCATTGTTATTTTATGATTAATGTATTATTGTACAGTCTCAAGAATGTTAGTTCATAGTTCTCCCCACATAAAATTTTTAATGACCTTCTCTGTAACATACATATTATCCATTTCCTTTTCTTGGGTTTGGAAGGTTACCAGTCATTTTTGTACAAGTTAATCCTTCAAGGTGTAAACAATTTAAATGTTCTTGGCTTAAAGAACAAAGAATATTCACCCCCACAGGGATGTAGCCGGAAGCCGGGAAAATTACCCGGCTGTGAACGCGATTTTTCCAGCTGTAAGGCAATACTTATTTCTCCAAAATGTTTTTAAATGTTGTCAGAAGATTGTTATTTATTTATTTTGTTTGTTTACACCTTCATTGCTGTCTTACCTGAACTGAAAAGATTGTAAACACTCCATTTAGTGCAACGATCGTGTATGTCAACAGTCCAGTTCATCATAACTTTATTACCTGTTACCAGATAAAAGTCTGTGCTGAATGCCAAGGAAAATGCATCTCCAAGAGTATGCATTAATTTTTCAAAATTTCCCGGGGGAGCATGCCCCCGGACCGCCCTAGATAAAGCGTGCCAAAGGCATGTTAGATTGGGCCTTCCGCCCAAATACCCGCCTATCATTGCTAGATTCCCACCTGTTAAAAACTTTAGCTACATCCCTGCCCCAATTTTTTCTTGTTCAATTGCAAACTTTACTTGAAGTGACCGAAATTTTTGTGCAGTTTCACTGCTTGAGTTCTCGTAGCAAAATGAGTTGTATTGAAATGACTTTGTATCAAAACGACCAGATTCTGTTCGGAAGGGTAGGGATGTTTCCTGAAAATTACATGATGCAGGTAGAATAATCAGGGCTTGAAAAAGACTTGAATTCCAGCTTGTCCTTTGGGCAAGAAGCTGTCATATTTTGCTTGCCTGTGGCCACTTCTTGCTGGCCTTAGTTTATGATTTTGTTCGAGGATGACCTTTCCTGGACCCTTGCCCACTGGACAAGTAAGCTTTAAAAGTTACTTACCCAGCAAGAAAATCTTCTTGTCCTGGACTACCAGGCAGGACTATTTTTAAGCCCTGAGCCATATGTTTTTACAACTTGATATACTGATCGCTCTAATAGTGATGTGTGACTAAGTCACTAAAAGTCTTTTGGCACTTTAAATTTAATAGTATATCCACTGAACGCCATAGAGCTGAGGTGCGAAGAGCCTATAGTGATGACAGATTGGCTATCGTGGCGGAAAGGTACAGTAGGCTTCAATTTCCCTGAACGTTTTAACTCTTCAATACAAAATGTAAATGCTAGGCTTTGTTAACCATGGCCATCAATTAAAAAAGTCAAGAACTACGCTCTTTTTGCAAGAATTCAGTAACATAATGGTTGTTTGCATTTTTTTGTGAAGTATTTATGGTGCTGGGAGCTGTGCTGAATGGGCGGCAGAAGGAAGAAGGCTTGTTCCCTTGATGCCACGTCTTGTGCCTCAAACAGTGTTCAGTGCTTCAGCTACTGCAGCAGCTAATTCTGCCGCTGCAGCTAATGCTAAGACTCCAGCCTCCTCAGGTACTGTTCATTAAACCTGTTGATATTGTTACATTAACACGCCCTGGGTTCAGCAAATACAGCAATACGTAAGAAATGTACCGCAAAAATGACAAGTTTTGACTGTTTTTTATTCCGATTGCTCCACTCTTCACACACTTGTAAGATCAGATATTGGAGAACCATATTTGGAATGCAGCATGCAGCATCACACTACGCCAAGTCACACGATGACCTGGTACAATAATACCAGAACACAAGGGTGCATATATGTACAGGTCATGAAAATCATGAAAAGAAGAGGAAATTTAATGCTTCAAAATCCAGTCAAAGGCTGTGTTGTGAGAAAAATTGAAGGGAACTTAAAGTACTCTTAAACTGTTAAATCCACATTTCCCAGCATATGATTTCTATGAAAAAAATTAAGATCCTCCAGTTACCTGGTAACAAAAATTAGCAGGCAGTAGGGGCCACTGGACATTCCTAAAGCATGGCCTTGCAGTCCTGGAAATCCTGAAATAAGATCCCTACACTTAAGAAAACACATTTCTTGTCCCATTTTTAGGCAAGTGGCATCACTATCTGGCAAATGTACATCATTAATTTGTTCCCATCCACTTGCCACTTTAGGGGCTTATTGTATAGCCTACATGTAGCCGCACCCTCCACCCGGACAAAGGAAAAATGGAGAGAGGGAGCTCCCTCTGTCCATTTTTCCTTTGTCAGGAGTAGAGTGCAGCTAAACTTAGGCGTAGGCTACTTATTGTGCCATTAATTTTATTTTGCGTGGTCCTTGCTTTCACTGTCAGGGTTGTTTAATGTCCCTCTTGAGTGTTATCACTGTCCTGTGTTTGAAAGCCATAAGTTTTGTTTGATTTGTTTTGATTTTATTTTCCTCAGTCAACAAAGCTGGAAGTAGTTCAAGTTCACTGAATGCCACCACAAACTCTTCATCTTCTTCCAGTCCGCAAAACAGCTCTAAAGCTGCAACTGTGAAACAGCAGACTCAAACAGGTTAACCCACTCCTCTTTTGACTTCACCCTCTGTTTTATGAAATCAACATAATTTTACAATTCTGCTTACTGAGTACCACTGGATGTCACAAAACTAAGAAGATGCTGTAAGTGGGGAAACAAAGCACTGTTGCAGATTACAAGTGATAGACTTCATTCTATGTCAACGAAGTGAATCAAAATTGTGCTTTTCTTTAGCATTGGAGGCATGCATGTGATATCATTCTTCTGATCGCCCACTATTTTTTTTCTTTAAAGTGTTCTTAGTCTCTTTTCTTAAATGTATGAAGAGCTGAAGATTTTCTTGTACACCCCATAAGCAAACGGTGGCTGTTTTCATTCTATTTCTGTTACAGAAGTGGTCAAATTTGATTTCAGGTTGAAATATTTTACCTTAGGTTGATTCTCCATCTCCTTTGTCTTCAGGTTCTAGGGCTAGGAGGCAAAGGAAATTGAGTACTGATATTAACCAAGGTTTAATCAAAGTTAACTGGAAATCAAATTTGACCTGTATCATTTCTCTTTACCAGTCAAGAGAACAACTTGAATAGCTGAATGGTACCACTAAACTGAGAGGGAAGAAAACCTGAGTATAAGAGCTTTGAACAACTGTCTTTGGAAAAGTTTTATAATAGGGGTCTGCCCAAGGGGGGGGGGGGGGGGGGGGAAATAAAATGACTGACTTATTTATTAATGTTATAACCATCATAGGTACGGCACAGGGGAGTGAAGCTGATGGTTTTGACGATGATGGTAAACCAAAACGAAAAAGACGGCTAAGTGTATCAAGTCTGAATAAACCTGTGACAAAAGTTACCATTCCCACTCCTACTTTGGTGTCAAAAGCACCAACTAAGCAGACCACATCAGTAAGTACTATGACCAAGTCTGGCAAAGCTCTCGGACCTGCTGGCACGGTTAAACCAGTTCCGCGTATGTCACCACTCCCTGCCTCTTCATCACAGGTGAAGCTTCTTACTAAGACAGTGGCAGTGTCGCAGGCAATCTGTCAAGCAAAGACTGTTCTTAACTATAAAACTATGACAACTGTTGCATCATCACCCGCCAAAACGCAAACAGCGATGACTCAGTCAATTCCCAAGAATCAGAGCAAAGTTGCCTCTGTTTCTGCTCCTAAAGCCGTCTTGGCATCAAAGACCCCACTGTCAACAGTGGGCAAGGGTGTGTCCACTGGAGCAGCAGCAAACCCAGTGGCCACTGCAAATCCGATTGGGGTTGCTCTTAAAACCAGTTTAACAGCAGCCCAATTGGCTTCAAAACAAAAAGCAAAGCCAGCAGCAGCCAGATTTAAACCTCTTCCAGGAACTGTTAAATTCAAGTCTGTCACTCCAGCTACCATGGGAACCTGTTCAACAGTTACCATGGTAACTCCCAGTCCTAGTTCTCAGGCCTCCTCGACCTTGCCAGCTACCAGCACTCAACCTGTAGTTCGAGTCATTCATGTCCCAGGAACAGGAGGTGTTGGTGTGAGCAAGCCAGTAGTTGTCATGACAACAGGTCTCACCAAAACAACAGTTGCAGGTGTTGTGCCTGGAGTAAGCAGTGCGGCCAGCTTAACAAAGACAACATCTCAGGTAAGAAGATTGTCGCTGTTCATACAAAAGGCTTTTAATAAAAATAAATAAATTGACTTATAGGGGAAACACATTAGGCCATTTTCAAGTTAAAAACTCTCACTTTTAAAACAAGGCTAAGTGCAAAATCTCTCTTAGCTTGTTAAAAGTGAGTTTTATTTGTGTGAGAATAAAAAAACCTTTTAAATCAATGGCTTGGGGCAACTCAACAATGGCCTATTACTGGTAGCCCAGTAGTTTTTATTTTGGCGCACAAATACATTTGTAAGGACAGTGACAAACATTTGAAAATAAACATAACATTGTAAAGAATCCCAGCTGGGAGGAGGCTAACCAGCTGACTATTTACAAGGTTGACTGAGGAGTTGAACGTGGGACTTCAGAGAACAAATCCAGCTAGGGGCTAGGGCAGGGATTGAACTTGTTGCCTCTGGATTGCGATTCCAGCACTGTAACTGCTTTGCCATCCTAATTGAATTATGCAGAACAAGGGAGGTGCTGTAAATAAAGCCTTAAATCATCTGGTAAAAAGGCAAATAATGTAACTCTTCCAAATGTTAACTGTGTTAGCAAGTGCGAAGAAGTTTGTCGAATTTTAACCCATCAGGTCCCAGTTGTTCAAAAGGAGGATAACTCGATCCATCCACCGGATAAATCTCTATCCAGTGGATAATACAATCGGTTTTCCTAATACTTATCTGCTGGATAATGATGTATCTGTTGGATAGTGCTATCCAACGTTTTTGCAACCGGGACCTGATTATTGAAGAAATATTTTGAATGAATAATATGAAGTCTTATTCATTGCAATCTTCATGTTATTGTTGATCAGCTGACTCAAAATCCTTCAAGCAACAAGACTGTAGCCTCGACATCTACCACTTCATCTTCTCTGTTGAAACCCAAAGTTTCCAGTGCAGTAACTCAAGCAGCACCATCAGCATCAAAAACTGTTGTCATGACAACACTAGTAGGTGGGACAAAGAGAGTGGTTCTCTCCGTCCCAGCTCCCTTGCAGCCTGCTCCAACGGTTTCTGCCCCCACTACCTCCTCCCAGGGAATTGTCGTCACTAAGACACAAGGTAAATGGTTGAAACAAATCACCTTTTCAGTTCCGTTGTGCTTTAAAAACTATTGTATGGCTATTCAGTTTTAATATGCAGCTAGGGTTTTTGAGAAGTGATGTGATCAGCATGTCACGAGCACTGGACAAAGAAAAATTGGATCATTTTACCTTTCTGGGAAACTGCCCACCTAACCCTCCCCCTAAGCCAACATTAACTCTTAGTTCTCACTTAAGGCAAAATGCTGGCTTAGGGGAGCGGTAGGTGGGCAGTTTCCCAGAAACATAAAATGATCCAAAAAAAACTGAGTCCCCAACAGGATTTGAACCTATGACGTTCTGTACACCAGTTGAATGCTCTAACCACTGAGCTACAATGGACTTCTGGAGAGCTGGAGTATATCCAAGGTTCATGTATGACATGCATACTGCTAGGATCAGCAATGTTGAAATTGTCATGTGTGTGGTAATAAAGAATGACGGATTTTACTCTAGTTAAACCCTGTTTAATACCTAATACGGGCACTTAGGTGGCCATAGGAAGTGTCTATATTAACAGGATGTCCATATTATCAGGGCTGTCATTAAGAGCTGGGGGCTGGGGATTTCCCCTGGCTACTATGAATGTGGCCCCCAGCCACTTTCATTTGAAAATAGAAGAAAAATAAAACCAAAAGAAATCCCTACCTGTTTGATTCCCCACCTACTTGATGTATTTACCCGGCAACTTGAAATCTTAGTTACAACCCTGGTATTAACCCTTTAAGTCCCAATAGTGACCAACAGCAGTTTTCTCCTAACGATATCCATACATTATCATGAGATTAGGTTATGAGAATTAATAAAATGATCACCTAAGAGAAAATACTTTGATCTTTTATCAAATTCTCTTAACTAATTCTTAAAGGAAATGTACAGAGATCAGTTTGGAGAATTTGTAGATGTATATTGGGGTTTAAAGGGTTAAGCTGGTTGAATGTAGAGAAAATGTAAAGGCTTTCTTCCCCCAGGGGAAAGTCCGTCTATAATAATGAGGTGTCCATAATAAGCAGGTGTCCATTGTCCATAATGGTTGGTTTGACTTTATTATGAATGTGAAGAGATTTTTAAAAGGATGTTGCAAGTGGCAATTTACATCAGATTTAATATTTTAGAGTTTTTAAAAAATGGTGACCAACTGTCCCATAACATAGTTTAATGCTCACAATCGGCGACAAAATTGTTGAGACATTGTACTCCAATAGGGTAAATTCAGAGAACAAAAGAATCTGCACCCCTAACCCTGTCACCCTCCATTCAAAGTTGGGGTGTTTGTTGTTTTCTATAGGTAGCTCAAACATCGGCACAACATTGCATGGAGAGGATGGGGGAAGAAAAGCTATATTTCCTCCTTTTGAAGTTAGTAAAACATCAAAAAGTGCAGTTTTGGGCAAAGTGTCTCAACTCATTTTGTCGCTGATTGCAGGTTGAGAAAATCCTTTGCATGCTTTAGAAATAGGTCCAGCTAAAGACCAAAGTCCAAACACAGAACTTTTTGAAGGAAGCTTTTTTAATGGAACCCTCTTTTCACTAATCTATGTAACAAATTATTTAGACCTTAGAATTTTTAGTTTCAGTCTGAATTAAAGTTTTAAGTACACAAAATATGGGATTTGCAATAGAGTACTTGAAGGATCTTACTCATAGGGATTAAAGGATTAACAGCTTAGTAATTACCTTTTCAAAGGCTGCTGGACCTTTGCAGTTGATCTATTTTTTAAAATATATTTTAGGTGTTGGATTGACTACCCTTGCTGTCACTTCTAAGAAGGACAATAAAATTGCTCCAGTTCTAACCACTGTCAACATCAAGCCATGTCCTACCCAAATAACACCCAGTCTGTCTGCCCCAACTGTCACCACGCAAGTTAGATCAAGACCCCTCCCAGCCATTCTTCCTGCCCCACCCAAACCATCGAGCATGACACAAGCACCATCAAGTGTCACTGCTGCCTCAAGCATCAGAAAGCTTCCTACCATCTTACCAGCACCAGCCAAGAATGTAACTGTCATTCCAACTGTCTTAGTTCCCATGGCAACTGGTGTGGGTGCACATGCTGGCGCGCAACTGCAGTCATCAGTGCCGCTGGCTGTTAGCACCACCATCTCTGGTGTAGGGATGCCGGGTCTGAATGATGTTGCATCACAGCAGTATCCATCTACTTCAGAGTCGAGTTTGATTTCTGCCGATCAGAGCAACCACAGTTCAGTTATGAACGAAAATAGTGAATTATCGGAAGTGTCAAGCTCAAAAATGCCTGTGATAAATGAACCAAGTTGTGTGCCTGAAGGAGACAATAACACATCATCTGAAGATGACTCTCTCCTTATGTGCTCAGAAACAATAGACAACAGCTGTAGTATCACCGAGGCCCCATCAGCTGTTGATTTTTTTACAAGTGTAGCAGAGAGCACACCCGTTAAAGACCTAGCTGAAAACAATGCAGTTGATCTGTCACAAACGTCGTTAGATTCAACTGAGGAACATGAAGCAACTCACAAAACAGGATTAGGCCCATTGTCTTTGCAAGATATTGAAGTATCTGTCTCTGATTTAGACGCTGAAAATGGAGTGCAGAAAGACTTGTTCATTGAAGCAGACTCTTGTGAAAATCACACCGAGGCATTTGCAGAATCTATTGAAAATGTCACAGTACAGAGACTGGATGTTTCTGGGGAAATTTCTGATATAGCAGTGGGTGGTTTGTCTGAGGAAATCTATGCCGAATCAGATGTGGCTGATCTTGAAGAAGAGAAGGATCACAGACAGGAGGAAGATTCAGATCAGAGCTTATCTTTGGGGGAAACTCATTGTCATGACAAAACTGTGAGTGTAAAAGATGCTGAAGATGGGTTGCCTGTGGAGAATCCTGGATTACCTGTGCAGAATGCATTACAAATAATTGAAAGTTTCGTGGAAAGCATGGAAGCAAGCTCTGGAGGCCAAGTGGATGATTCGCAACTTCCATCCCACAATTTTTCTTTAGGATTCGCTCAATCTTCTAGTTTGCAAAATTCATCTCTGCCTGAAGTTCCTGGAAATACCTCTGAGAAAGGAAATGAAATCTGTGAACAGCTAACAGCTGTAGCAGATACTGTCAAAAGCCTTGGGGAAGGTCAAAACTCAAACCTTTTAACAAAATTTGAGGAAGAGAATTGGGACTCTTCAGATCCGCCTATTGATGTCCTGTCTACTTCCACAAGCAGTTCAAACAGTGCTTCAGAGAGCATTGAGTTGACAGAGAAGGAAATCAAAGCTCTTGAAGCCTTCGGTAGTATAAGAACGAGTGGAAGAAAAAGGAAACCTCCAACATCTCTTGATGTGTCACCACCAAGGCAAGTCAGTGGCTGGGTTCGTGGTGCTCTCAGGTATGTAACTATAGCTTGTATAGTCATTTACCTGTTGAAGTTTATTCTATCAACAGCATTTTAGTGGTAATGGTGGCGGTAGTGGTAGTGGTGGTGATAATATACGTGGTATTTTTGTGTAGTAGTAGCAGTGTTGTCAGTGGAAATGCTGGCAGTGAAAGCGGCAGTAGCAGCATTGGCAGCAGGTGTAACAGGCCAATGGCAGTAGTGGTGGTAAAACTTAGCATCATCTGAAAGCATCATCTGAGAAGTGTATGTAATTAGAGAGATTTAGAGGCAGGTATACAACAAACAGAAAACAATCATCGTATTCATTATTGAGAATTATTCTCGAAATAGAAAAAGAGCAGATAAAAACACTCCAAAACAATTCTTATGGATGAATCTGGTGTCAAACTGAATGACATGTAAAGGGACAACTTGGTCGCATGTTACAAATTCATGTTTGCCATTTGCTGAAAAGTGAATTGTAAATCTCTTGACTATTGTCTTTTTGGTATAAATAAAATAATATGACGTGGTAAAATGAGATAATGAGATACAAAGTTCTTGGTTAGTCAATATTCATTTTCTTGAGCCAAGCACATTTTAATAGTTTAATATTGTTCAGACCCTCTGAGGTTAAATCTTTTGAACCTGGCACTGTTTTGATTCAAGGTATACTGGTCCAAGTATTGAATGCAGGCAGTGCTTATATTGACAATAACTTTATTTTTAATACCATAATTGTTTTGCAGTTTGCTGCAAAAGGTTGCTAGTTATCGAGGACAAGGAAGACGGAAAGGTGACTTTGGCGCTGCTTCCTGGTTCCTCAAACCAGGTACCTTATAAATACAAGTCTTCTCCTTTTTTTTTTCTTCTCCCCAAATAGAGTACCATGGGAGGGGCAGTATGATGCTTTAGTAAAGTAAAACATCTCAAATGTCAGATCAAGTGTCAGTATTTTAGTCTTGGCTCTGTCATTAAAGTATTTTTTCTAATCTTCAACACACTGACTCTCACTGTCCACTTGTAATGATAAGTACTAGTCAAGACTTATCCACACATAATGGTGTTTTTCCCTGTTGGAGACCTCCTTGGCTTGCGATTTACTTGCATCTTGTCTGGAGGGAATTACAGGGTGTAGAAATAATCTTAGAGACTTAATACCACAGAAGCTTTGCCAAGCTAAGTGGATATCCTGTGGCTCACATAGTAAACCCTTTGTTGTGGTGTCAGTAGTGAGTTCTTTTCTGAACCTCACCCTTCAGGGGCACCCAACGAGAATATAGTTCAAAACCACTTAAAGATAGCTTGTCAAACGTATTTTAGTATTTAAACGGTAGATATAGGCATATTTTTATCCCCTAAAAATTTTTCATCTGTTCGGATTTCCTAGCTGAAAGTCTAGTGATCCGAAAATTATAGGGATCAAAACTTACCTTTTCGAAAGTTTTAGCCAGAAAAAAGACTCCCGAAAATTCTAGGTGACCTTTTTAGGATAAAAATCCGTTAAAAATAGGCAATTATACCAATTTTTAGATGTCCGAAAATCCTAGGAGAGGCAGGCAAACAAGAAATTTTACAACAAATGTTCCGAAAATTCTAGATCTCAAATCGTCTTCCGAACAGATATTTTTCCGAAAATTGTCGTTGGGTGCCCCTGACCCTTCGCTTCTAATAATGGCAAAATGAAAAATATTTTTTAAAAAATAACTATTTTGCAAAATCCTGATATTTTTATAGTGCTATGCAAAATTCCTGCCAGCAGGTTTCATTTGAATGGTAACACCATTAGTATTTAGTCCACAGATGCAAAAGTTACATGTACAGTGGGGAATCTTCTAAGCATAACTAAACTTGTTCTACAGTGTGACTGAAAAAGTAAACCAGTTCAAATTCCCTCCCAAGAGATTACTCATTGTAATTCTTTTGACTCAAAGGATGAAATCCTATATGGTATAACCCTTCTGGTGATGGCCACTGAGCAGTACTTTCTCATAGAACAAGAAATTTGTTATGTTATTTGCCATGAATTCCAGTTTAATTCTAACATGTTTTATTGTTGGCAATTCCTACTTACAGTTGACCCAGTAGATGCACCTGGCTACTACAAAGTCATTAAAAATCCCATGGATTTTGGCACGATAAGAGTTAAACTAGAGGTTAGTCAAATTACTTTTGAAATTATTCTTCTACTTACAATAATATTACAACACAATGGCACCATTTTATGATTATGTTATTTTCAATGTATTTATTTTTCAAGTTGTATTTTATCCCTGGATGTAAGGACACACCTTGTGAACATGACTTAGAATACTTAAAGTTCTTATTATTGTTACATAAAAGTTATTTAAAACATCTGACTTGTCACTCATGAATGCTATTTTCAGACTGGAAAGTATCAGGAGTATTCAGAATTTCATGCTGACATGATGTTAGTGAAAACAAACTGTTTAAAGTACAACCCACCAGGGCATGATGTGCGACAGGTCAGTGCATAATAATACTAGTATTAGATTCTGGGAAGCTAAACTGCTCACCTATCCCGCACTCCCTCAAGCCATTGTTAACATTAACTTCTCATTCAAGGCAAAAGGTTGAGTTATAGGAGGGGTAGGTTGGCTGTGCCCTAGAATATTTTACTGATTCACTATTTATCATACATCGTTCTAAACTGGTTGAGCAAGTTGAAATGATGCTTGCGTTCTGAATGGGTACCCAAAAGGACAGGATTGGACTGGCTTGCCTGCTTTGGATTTTCTGCTACATTTCCCACCTGGGAAATACTTTTTAGACCTATGTAATAAATCCTTTATCATTAATGTTGTGTAAAGTTCTGGCCTTATGGTTGCAGGACTGTGAGGAAGTTTTCCATTTTTATGAAACAGAGTATGGGAAAATGTTGGAAAGATGGGAAAAGGTAATTTGAATAAATAAATTAATCAATAAATACATGGATATTTGGTGCTTGATTGAATTAGATAGAAAAATAAAATCACTCCACTGTTAAAATAATTCTGCCAGGTTTTAGCTCTTAGTTCACAAAACAAGAGTAACAAACCAAATATAGCTACAGTGATTAAAGAATCAGGCAATTGGTCAGAAGTCACTTTGTCTTGTGATGTCATCTTCCTATCTACCCCTCTAAAGCATATTGCCCACCAACACTTCCAGGAGCAGTATCTAGGGGTGTGTGGGTGGGGTTATTCAGGTGCCCATGACACCTGCATCTTACTTTCATTACTCCTCTTCATTCTTACCACCATTATACTCTTTTTAGAAAGCTACAATCGGTGACAAAATGAGTTGAGACGCTTCGCCCAAAACTGGGCTTTTTTACGTTTTATTACCTTCAAAAGGAGGAAATATAGCTTTCCTCCCCCATCCCCTTCGTGCAATGTTGTGCCCTTGTTCTAGCTACCTGTAGAAAACAACAAACACCCCAACTTTGAATGGAGGGGACAGGGGAGGGGTGCGGATTCTTTTGTTCTCCGAAATTACCCTATTTAAGTACAATGTCTCAACAATTTTGTCGCCGATTGTAGTTAACTAACTTAGAAAAAATGCCACTCATACAATAGTGAACAGCTACCAGTAGTCTGGCACCATACAAACAACTTATTGATGGACTCAAGCAAAACTCTCAATGACAGAATGACTGAACAACCAACAGTTGGACTAACAATAAACTATTGTTACCTAAACTGTGACAAAAGATGGGTCAAAACGCACCAACAACATTCAGAATCTTCGTAGCCAATAACATCATGGCTTAACTGACAGACAACCAATGACATCACTACTTAATAGACCAATCAGGTCAATAACCAGAATTCAATACCATCACCTCACTTTGACTCTCAAGATGACTATTGCACAGGTTGTCAAAACCCCAGTCAGTGTCAAGAACAGTTCTATTCAGGATTACGCTGACCTGGACAATCAGGCTCCAGCTACTTAAGAAAAGACTCCTGGGTTCAAACCTTTCACAGTAATGCTCCTTTTGTACAATACAAACTTTGTATCTTTTTATCTCAGCTTTTCTGTGACTTGTAAGCCCACAGCAAATCATAATGTTGGTGGGAACTACTATAATGTGCCACCCTCAACACTGAAATGATGGAGATTATATTATAAGGAACATTGCTAATTATAGGTATTGTTCGAGTGAGGCCTTATTAGAACTGCTGTAATTGAAAATGAAAGTTAATCCCTGATATGATACTGTTGATCCGTGATAACCTGGGTGTAACTTTCATTTTTTTAATTACTAAACAGCAATTGAAAGCCTCACTCATAATATTTTACCATTAATTTTCAAACTTGCTGCTGAAGGACAATATGCACTGTTTCTGATTATTTTTGCCCTTGTCATTAATTTTAATAATTTTGTTATAATCAATGGCCTACTGTCACAACAGATATTTGACTCATAGGGCAACAACCACTTTGTTTTAACCTGTCCCTGTTAAAGAGGCTTGTAATAACCTAGGTTTGGAGTTCCTGGATAAACATTTATTTTTGTTAACTGCTGCATTCATTTGTTTTATTTCAGTGTCATGTTTCTCCAGCAAAGAAGCCAAGACTTACAACAAAGTCAGAGACCTCCACATAAGATGTGTAAATTCTCATACACAGTTTTATTATAAGCTATGCATGAAGATATGCCTACAAAATGTAAAGAAAAAATAATGTACATTTTGTATATTTTAACTACAAATTAATGGTTAGTGACATACTTCACCTTTTAATACTATGCTCCTGAATGACCTCATAGAAATTTAACGTCATGTGATGAATACTGATAAACTTAAGTTATATGATAAAAATTCACCAATCACAGATCACAAACTTTCCTTCTTGCACACCATGAGCAAACCATACCATCAAACAGTTGGAATTTGAGCCGAAAGGCTAATTTGTTTGAATGTGTGAGCTCAAAAACATCAAAAGTTTTTATTCTATATGTGAGGGACTCATGCCTAAGATGATTTCTCCTCCGCAAAGGCTCCCATATCATAGGAAAAATAGCAATAATCGAAAAATTAAAAGAAAGTGCATGGGGGATGACGGGAAGAGGGCTTCCCTTTCCATTCTCCCCAGCCTCCCTACCACACAGAGGCCTCTGCAGAGGAGTCTGAGAGCCTAAGATGTAAGAGTTGGCAGGTATACTTAACCCTTTAAGCCCCAATATCCACATACAAATTCTCCAAACTGATCTCTATACATTTCCTTTAAGAATAAGTTGGGAGAATTTGATAAAAAGATCAAAGTATTTTCTCTTTGGTGAGCATTTTATTAACTCTCATAACCTTGAGTTTTCTCTTGCCAATGTATGGACATCGTAAGGAGAAAATTGATGTTGATCGCTATCGGGACTTTAAGGGTTAATCACCTTTCCTTATTTAAGAAAGAAAAAGCACTTTCTGGCTAATTGAGATGAGTTTTAAAGAATTTTACACAAATATAAGGAACAAAAGTACACTGACTATACCTTTAGTTTTATAGCCTGCATAGCAGCCAGACTAAGACCTAGACAGAGAGCTCTGTACAGTCCATGTCAGGGAGTTAGACTGTCTGCAATGCAGGTTATGAGAGAGATGACACTGTCGTCTACTCTTCAAATTCTGTTTAAGGTCTCTGTCTTTGTGTCCCTTTGCGAGGATGTTATTAAGGTCTTGTTTTTGCCATTAATTTAAGTTCTTGGTGTCGTCATTAACCCTCTTGTACAGATAATTCCCCTTCAGACTGCAACAATTAATGTTGTAAGTTGTTATTCACTGCACATAGAAGGCAATAGCCTACCAATTTGTACAGCATAAACAGTCAAAACTTTTTACAGGCGTCTTTGTGGGTCAAGCACCTCCTAAGAGTTAAGTTCCTGTTTGTTCCTCAGCCAGCTCTGTAACCCTCTTTAAGATGGAAACCTGTCCATATGTGGACACTTGGTGCTGGTCCCAATACTTAGAGAGGGATCATTGTCAACGTTTCCATATTTTTAATATTATTATTATTGTGTATATTTTTCATCAGAATGTGTTAGTCTTCACTGTTCTACAAGCCAATAAACAGTGTATGAAATCTTGAGATTTCATTATTTTTCTCAGTGGGTTTCAACTTGAAAAGGAGATCGGGGTGTCAGTTTGAATAGCCTGCGAATACAGCCGTTTCTTCTTGCTCCTCGCTGCTATGGATGTTTCATCAGGAAGACGTCTGTGCCTGAGCAACAGAAATTCCATGCTGATGACATAAATCAATGTTTACATAATAAATCCGTAGTCATCGGGTCCCAAATGTAAATTTGTTTGAGTTTGAATAAATAAATAAAATAAATAAATAAACCAGATTCTTGATAGATTTCATGTCATCAGTATGGAATTTGTCGCTCAGGTGCAGGCGTTTCTCCTGGCAAAACATACCTAGCGGCAAGGAGCAAGGAGAAATGGCTGTTTTCACAGGCTACATTTTGAATAGCAAATACTTATTTAACAGAGTGTAAATTTGATGGCCTGCGATTCAGTTTTTAATACCCAACTTTCATTGTAAACCTACCAAAGTACACCCCCCGCCCCCAACTAGGAGAAAGGAGAGTGGAGGTTCCGCTATTATTTAGAATTTAAGCAGTTTCTCAGCTGTCAGTCTGTTCCACAGTTCAAAAGCTTTTTGTTCACCCTGCCAACAAGATTAAGTTATACTTTTACTCAAGGGAAACATCTAACTGTCCCAGCTGATGAATAACCCTATCGCCCCTCAATTTCTGGAAAATATAATAAAATTTGCACAGATTTCAGGTAAGATTGTTCACACTTTATTTTTCTTTTAGCCCTATTCATTGCTATGTTTTAAAGTCACACGCTGGTCACACCAGTTCCACTAAAGAAGTTTTAAAACCTTTCACACTGTTTAAAGAAAATGGCAATTAAGAAGTGAATTAAAAAACAAAAAACAAGTCGCAAAGAAAATTTGTACTTTTCTGTTACCCATTAACAGGAAACATTGAGAAAAAAAGATAAAAAATCTGTAGAATAAATTTAATGTAGAAGCTTAAATTATCACACTCTGATATAAAAAAATCTTATATACAAATTTGCCTTTTCTAGTAGGCATTATAAAAATTTTTTGTGTTGTCCAATTGCACTTTTAATTTTTTTTGGTTAAATTATGCATCTTTTTCTGCTATGGCTTCCTTGTCTTCATCTGATTTGTTGACTTCTGCTCCATCGCCATTTTCTGAGGCTTCTTGTTTGTCCTTAGCTGGCTTGACTTGCTGATTTGAACTCCTTCTCTTGTCGCTCTTGGATTTCTCGCCTACCTCTTCTTCTAGTGGCTTCTTCTTGCTTCTTCTTGTCAGCTGCTTGTACCAGTCTTTAGGATATTTAGAAATGTTGTCCATATACGTTTCATTGATTTGCCACTCATCCTCCTGCGGGAAATATTTCACTATGAGTGCAAATGCACATGAACAGAAAAAACATTATTTAACCCAAATTGTCACCAAAATGCACCAATAAAACTAGGCAGTAATGGCAAAAGACCTAACTCACCAAATGCACCAGTAAAACTAGGAAGTAATGGCAAAAGACCTAACTGCGTACTTCAATACATTTAAATAGTTAAAACTTAGGATTTTTCCACTCTTGACAGCTGGAGCCACCTTATAGCAGCATGTCACTATGAACGGGCCGGGCCCCAGCTTAGAATTGCTGTTCCATAGCCTTCATTTGAACTATAACATCCAAACTCAAACCTCTGGTCCACGGTTTACAGCTTAAAAAACAGGACTACAGAGAAGCTCTGCTGTACTAATATTTGAAATGTAATACTTGATTACATCATACCTACAAATTTTAAGTTAGAACCACCTTGTTTATCAGGACAACATACAAGCAGGACCACCAGAAATTACTGTGCAATGAAGAGAATTTTATTACTTGATAAAATGTTGATGTTTTTCAATGTTTATACTAGACAAGAAACACATCCTTACCCATTGAAGATGGTTGTAATGTGGCTCCTTTGATGAAATCCGCTTTAAAATAGCCTGCAGCGAAAACAAGTTGGAAAACAGTCTCATTATAATGTACTTTTGTCATTTAATCATAGGTTGCTCCAAAAAAGATCCATACTGCCGCCACAGGGCTTATTTTGTTACACCCTATCCTGCTGAAAAATTCCACAACTCATAAACCTACACTTTGCTTTAAAATTTTAAATGCAGCCCCTCCTCCTGTGAATATTCCGTGACCCTCAATGG